CTTCCTGTTGGGGTTAGTGTGCATTGAGTAATAGTCATTAGAGTTCTCTTCTAGCCTCACAACCCCATTTTAAATGAGGTTTCTGTTTATTAATTTTCACACTTCATATGGTAAAAACAAAATCATTCAACAAATATTGACAACCTGTTGCATCTTCTCCAGAAATAAAAAGATTGCAGCTAACTGGAGTAATTGAGCAGGGAGGGTTCAAGGAAGAGATAGTTTACAGATAAATGGGAACAATCAGGCAGTGAAGCACCCTGGGGCTTGCTTCTTCCCATAAGACATTCACTTAAACTAGAGTAGTTAAGAAGTGGGTACCTGAGAGGAGTTCTCTAGTCAAAAAATAGAAACTATAATACTATCATCTTGTGGCCTGACAGAGAGAGAGCCATGGGAATAAATACCCCAACCTTATTCTCTGTCCATTCTTTCATCTGCCAGTGTTTCCCAACAACCAAACCGAATCAAAAGTTTAATGACTAAGGGTATCATTTATGGATGGTCCATAGAAGTCTCAGCCTCCTGGGGCACAGAATCAGGTGAGAGTGGAGAGTGGATCTGGAGGGACAAGTGAAGACTATCCAGCACACCTATAATGCTAAGCCCAGGCTAGACGCTAGGGATGCGTTTGTGGGAAAAGCACTCATCACTATTGTCTCAAGGGTCTACAGGTGAGATGGTTAATAATCAACATCATACCAGTAAGTACCCTGTTTCCCTGAAAATAAGACCTAGCTGGAAAGTAAGCCGTAGCACGATTTTAGGTGCCAAAATATGGCACCTTGGCATACTGAATATTTTAAGCTGAAGGAGTTTGTGGAAAAGGCCCACTTTTCCCTGAAACAGGTCATAAAACCCTCATGTGAGGGGTGCGTGCCCTCTATATCCTGAAGGAATCATACTACCACTTATTCTCTGGCTAGGTCTTATTTTCGGGGAAACATGGTAGTAAAATTCTAGCTCCAGTAAGTCCTGCAAAAGAGAAGCACATATGTTGTAGAAGCACATAATGAGAGCTAAGATTTACTGAGCACTTAACTGTGCCATGTTCTGAGCATTTTACATGTGTAAACTCATTATGAATAACCTCACAACAATTTGATACAATAGATAATATTATCATCCCTGTTTATAGACTAGGAAACTCGGGCATTATTGTAACAGTGAAATGCTCAGCCTCTCTGACTTCCATCTCTTGAGTCTGCTTTATTTTCATGGCCTTCCATGCTAATTCCATTAGAGGAATTCTGCTTGTGGCTTGAGTTTTAGTAAAACATCCTCTTACCAGAAACTGCTTCTCCTGAGAAGATAAGGGAAATATGTATAAAATTAATGATTGTTTATCAAAGATAGGCAGGAACGTTGTGACCAGACTCACATCAACTCAGAGTCAACAGACTACGAACAAAGAAATTTCACAATTATCCTCAAACCCCTGCTGTCGCCCATATGTCTGTGGTCATCAATCAACCTGAAAGCCCTCCCATTTCCCTCTTCCCTTGATATAAAAGAACCCCGAATTCTGTACTTTTGGTGGGAAAGGTGAAGGTATTAAGAAATACAAATTGGCAGTTACAAAATAGTCACAGGGATGTGAAGTACAGCATAGGGAATATCGTCAATATGTACTAACCATATATGGAGCCAGGTGGGTACTAGACCTATTGAGATACTTCATAAGTTGTATAAATGTCCAACCACTATCTGTATCTGTACACCTAAATCTAATACATTGAATGTCAACTATAATTAAATAATAATAATATTGTAATAACTATGGTGTCAGATGGGTGTTAGACTTATTGGGGTGATCACTTCTTAAGTTATAGAAATGTCTAGTCCTATGCCATACAGCTGAANTTGAAATGACCTTTCTTGTTTGTGTATTTCCACTACGTGATTCCAGGTTTTCCTTCTTCCCTAAAACGTCAGCTCCATGCATTAAGGGACAGGACTATATCCCCATCTGCTGGAACATGCCTGCCACATAGTAGATGCTCAGTAAGGTGACCAGGGCTGTGTGGACTACCCTCTGGCACCTTCAGGGTGTAGCTGAATGAATGTCGATACCTCACTAGAGACTGTCACATGCCAAGGTGGCCTCTCCTGCCAGGCAGGTCACACAGCTTTCTTTGGTTGTTTCTTCCAGAAATCAATTCCATGTCAGCCCGAGTTCTGCTCTTTCTGGTGATTCCAGGCCATCTGATTTTCTTATATGTCATCTACCTGGTAGAAGGCCATGCGGTCCCAAACAGCAAGACCTTTGTGGTATTCTATCTGCTAGCTGGCCTGATCCAGGTAAGGACAACTGTGGCAGCTGTAAAGCAGAATTCAGTGGTTAGGCAGGCAGCAAGCTTTGTTCTTTGTCTCAGGAGAGATGCCGAGGAAGTGGGGTTGGAGGTTCCTGGACATGCAGGTCACAATCCCCATCTTCCACGAGTCAAGTCAATTCATTCAAACTCAAGGGCATGATCTAGACACGGAAGCCACTCCATACTCCATACTGGACTCTCTATACTACACACTCCACACAGTGTACTCCACACAGCGCACTCATTACTCAACCCTCCACAAGGCACAATCCATACTGCATATAGCTCACTCCACACTCCTCACCAGAGAATCAGAGGAGCTGTCCTGAAGATTCAGCATGTTGCCATGAAGCAAGCTGATGAGCAGATCCAGCTGATGAACTGCCCCATGTGCATCAGTCATCACAAACAGGGAGTGGGCAGGGACCAGGCCCCTGCTGGGTATTGCTGAAAGGCATATGTAAACTTGACTCAGAGCTGGATGGTGATAAGGACATGAAAGAGATTAGGCTGGTGCCTGTCTCAGGGTAGTACTCAGCAAACTGCCAAGACTGTAGCTGGCTGATGTCCTGATGGGCCTGGAGCCTCTGTAGGGATAAATGGCTACTGGAGGGCAAATCTAAGGGATTAGCATTTTCATATCTTGAATCGTGGCATTTGCAATCACAGCATGTCCCTGACCCTGAAGAATAGGCTGGGGCAGTCTAAGAAACTGTCAGTTTCTAAGCAGCAGGAAAGGGGCTGGGGACAACCCACAACAAGGGACCCAGGAGCCCTGAGACATGACCAGGGCTGTGTGGACAACCTACCCCCTGGCACTTTCAGGAAAGGCCAGCCATATAAACCTGCCCATGAGAGGGCCTCCAGCAAACCCAAATTGAAGCCCCAGCATGATTTGTGTCTAAGATTCCAAGGATGGTGAGTGGAGCTGGTGCAGCAGAGAAGGTCAAGGCTGGTGAGCAGCAGCAGGTCTGTCTGGCACTTCAAGATGTCAGGAGCAAGGCCCAACCACAGGGAGGGAGGCTAGGCAAGTGTGGATGAGGGTGAACTCACGAGCTCATAGCTGGGTGTTAGACCCTAAGAGAAGCTCGAGGAAAGGGACTACCAGGGGTTGACTTGTCCACCTGGTGTCTTGCCTTAAAATCTGCTAGAGTTTCTTGATGACACTTGGCTTTCTGACTTGGTCATGATCTTTTGCGTCTGCTTGCTTTTATGACAGGTGACAATCCTGCTGTACCTGGCAGAAGTGATGGCTCGGCTAACATGGCACCAGGCCCTGGATCCTGACAATCACTGTATACCCTACCTCACAGGGCTAGGGGACCTTCTAGGAACTGGCCTCCTGGCACTCTGTTTTCTTATCAGCTGGTTATTGAGGAACGAAGCAGAATTGGATGGCATGTCAGAACTGGCTTCTGGACCTCCCTAATGAACCCAGTTAATCAGTAGAATGTTCCCTCACACCAACAGGTTATAGAATGCAGTTTCTCCCTGGCTATGTCCTTAGGTTGCCCTTTGTCAGTCTGCTAAGGAGATTCACACACACCTTGACCCTGGAGTTGGAACCTGAGTCCATGATGGAGACTGAAATCAGGAGCACTGTTTGTGAGTGTGTGAATGTGACTGGGTGAGTGTGTGAATGAGTGTGCATGTGTGTGCAGAGAGCAGGGTTCTCTGGCCTGAAGATGCTAAAGGAAGAGGCCTGTCCAGTACACCTTGGGGGATATATTGGCCCTATTTCATGCCAGTGCAGCCCAGATTGGGGTGAAGCATGAAGGAGACCTGTTGCGTGCCCATGCTTCAGGACTCTGAGCCCTGGCTTAACTGCTATCTTCACTAGGTCCAGCTCCATGGGCCACTCTGCTGGTGTGCCCTGCAAATGTGTGCAGCCCTTCATAGGATGGGGTCTTACACACCCCCTCATCTGCTCCCAGCATTTATTCTTGTCAATGCTTCCTCCCTCCCCTTTTTTTAAAAGGAAAAACCTGTTTAGATTTTAATGAATTGAGAAGTGAAAAATAAAGCGTAGATTATATTGTATTTGGCATTTTGTGTTTTAAAGATATTAATGCAACCATGAGAATTGGGGTCTATAAGTAACAAAAACCACTGGCATTTCTCTAGAGCAGGGTTGGTAAACTACGGCTTGTGAGCCACATGC